TTTATATAATAACATTTATTTTATAAATAAAATACAATAGAAAATATACACACTAAATACTTTCTGTAGCATGGATGTATTTGTTATATTTGCTGTGCCAGGCTGGTGAGGTGCCTTTTGGGGTGACAGGGCCATAGCCAGACAGGGATGTTCCACCTCTGGCACTGTCACAGCTGTGCAGAAAGGAGGGGGAGCTGTGCCCTGCATAAAGCACTGCCAAATAAATAAATAAATGTATATATAAAATACCCCATCAGCTCCCAGCAGAGCAGTGAGGGTATGCACACACTGCACCACGCCCTCGATCTTACCTGCCCTGAGAAGGCAGGTTCCTGGGGAAACAGGTGATCCCACAATCTCATCATGCCCACCTCTCCCAGGGGCTGCTTTGGAGATTTTCAATATTCCCCCAGGTCTGCCTCTCTGGGAGGAGGAGACAGAGGGAATAGGGATGTGGGTTCTGTGCATGGCATGGTTCCTGTGGGGGGTGACACTGAGGCCACTTGTCACTTTTCCTGGCTACGTTTTAGATTTAGATGGGTCTTAAAGGAACAGTATTTGGCAATAAAAGTGTTTTATTTCCCTTCTGAGAAGTTTGCTCTTCCCAGTGCAGAGGTCCCAAGGTGAGGTGGGGAAGTGACTCCATCCCAAGAACGGCCACACAGGTATTCTGAAAAACACCTGAATATTATTCACTGGTGAATAATACTCTGTTAACACAGGTAGGACACTTACTGAGAATAAACCAGGGCTAAACATACAGGCCACAGTGCTGGTGTGAGTCTGGAGATAGTGTACATGCTCTTTGCCATCATGGCTATGTTCATCCCCTAATGCTGGAGGTTTTCATACACCTCCAGCAATTATTCACCAGCTTGCTGGCTGGGACTGTGATCCCCCTGGGAATGGGATAACAAACTCAACAGGAGAAAGCTCTGGCATGGCTGTTGCCCTGTGATCCTATAATGTATCCTGTCACGGTGGATTTGGTGCAATAAAATACATGGAAAAAGAAACGATTTCAAGTTAACCTGAAGAGAGAAATGCGTGGAGCACTGCTGTCTCTGTGCTTGTTAACATGCCAAATACAGCTTGTCCAGCTTGAAAAGGGAAAAATATGATGTGCTTAGAATTGAGCCTTTGTCCCTTCCAGCACTGGGCTGTGAAGCAGTCCTGGAAAGCCTCTCAGGGATTGCCAGGGTTTAGGGTGGGGTGAGAAGCTCTTGCTGGTGGTACTGAAAGTTGTGTGTCACTCTGTGGGGGGAGTCCCAGTGCGGTTGGAGTTGTGTGGTGGATGTTCCCCTGTTGCAGGATGCCCACTGAAGGAAAAAGATGATGATGATGATGATGGAGGATGCACATACCCCATCAGAGGAGTTCCTCAGGAGACTCCTGAACACTTTGGTGTTTGTAAAAGTAGGGTTGTGGGAAGTTACTCCAGGGGAAAAATGAAAGGTGAAGAGAGAGACATTTTCTGGAGCCAGAACCCAGCACCCTGTGAAGTGACATGGGACCCTGGGGCTCCCTCACCCCCCTCTGTGAGCCTTTGCTGCCCAGGAGCAGCATCTGGAAATAGTCCCTGACACACAGGAGGGCATCAGGCAGGCTCTAGGTTGGCTTGGATTTTTGGGGGTCCATAAGCACCCTGGGAATAGCCCACCACCCTCCATCTCCTTAGCAGCCCAGGGATAGCCTACCACCCTCCACCTCTTCCTTGTCCTTTCTTGCCTGAATAGTACATAATTTGAGAGTTGCATGCATTAAGACCAAAATAAAACATTTCCAGGCTCTGCCAGAAACAAGTATTGATGTCTGAGAGGAGCAGACAGCTGATGGAAATACCGACACACTTAAGTACTTGGAGCCGTGAACCACACAGAAAGTGAGTTATTGCTGGGATGAGCCAAGCAGCTACAGAGATGAAGTATCTTATCCTTATAAGTGAATGCATACAAAAGCATTTCAGCGTTGCTGGGCCAACTGCTCCTCTTTGTGGAAGGTGTTTCCAGCCGTTGCAGCCTTTTTGCTCCTCTGAACAGCTTAAAAATGGTCTCTTGCTCTGGTTTTGCTGTGAGCAGTGATGATGCTGCAAGTGCTGATCTCCATCAGATGCATCTCTTGGTAGTTCTCAAGTCACTACTGCTTTGGCTAAACTAATAATCTGTTGAATTTTAGTCATACCTTGGGAGCCCACAACCCAGATTGCCTCTTTCTTTTGAAGAGCCTGTTAAAGCTGCAAATGTGTTAATCCCTGCTCTGCTGGCAAGTGTCAGCGTGGGCTCCTGTAACCCCTACACGAGTTAACTCCCTGGTAATTTATACCTGTGTGTCATGGTTTAACCCTGCCTGGGAGCTCACCCCACACTGCAGCTTGCTCACCCCATCTCGGAGGATGGAGGAGAGAATTGGAAGAGAAAAAGTGAGAAAACTTACAGGTGGTGATAAAGACAATTTAAAAGAGAAGCAAGGACTGTACACAGAAGCAAAGCAGAACAAGGAATCAGTTCACCACTTCCCCAGGCAGGTGTTCAGCCAGGCTCTATCATAGAGTGGCTGAGAAAGACAAATGCCACCACTCCAAACAATCCCCCTTCTTCCCCAGTCTCATTGCTGAGCATGATGTCATATGGTCTGGAATATCCCTTGGGCTGGCTGGGCTCAGCTCTCCTGGCTGTGTCCCCTCCCATTTTTTTATAGCTGGAGAGTTGGCCTCAGAGGGGGCAGATTCATCTCTCCTTCATGTCTTGGTGTCTCTGGTTGAAAAGGTGTTGGAAACAGCAGGCACTTGCAGCTGGAAGGCAGGAAGGAGGTGCTGGATTCCAGCCACTCTGTGAGAGATGTGAGCTTTGGTTCCCTGCTTTGAACTCCTGCTGTTTTAAGCATGGAAATGAGACTGTCTCTGCTTTCAGATTTATCTTTGTACTTGAAAGCTATATAAGGAATGAGAGTAAAAATTGGTTTTCCAAGGTCACAGTTGGCAAAGTGCTTAAAAGCATTTGAGTGCCCATTTAAATACTTTGTGGAGATCTCGGGACTCAGTTTGAGTCCTGTTTATTTTTTAAGCCGTAAGTATATAAACAAAAGTTTGAAAAACAGTTAAGAGAAGTGAGATTAAGACCATTAGTCGCGTTCTCCTTTTAATTCACCACGACATCTTTCCTGAGATTATGCCCAGTCAGTAGGAATAAAATCACTAGAACCAAACTTTGCTTCACAATGTCTGCTGGAGACTGACTGGGGAGATTGAGGGTAGAGATGCCAAAATGAAATTGTCAGAAACGAGATGCTGCTTCATTCCACAGAAGAAGCTTGAGACCCCAGTCCATCTGCTGAGTCTTACTTTCTTCTTCATTCCAGCATTCCCTGTATGCATTTTATAAAAATTCTTTGTTGCTTTGTCACTAACCCAGGTTCATTATGGTTTTCAAAAAAGAGTTATTTCCTTTTAAATGGCTAACCAGTACAGTTTGGCCTGTGCTTAGTCTGGGCTTGTTCCTGTTCAGTAGGTTTATAATATAAAAGCCAAAATACACAAGTCTTGATCATTTGGCAAACAGCTTTGGTAGAACTGTTTTGTGTGGAGGGGTTTTACAGTTCTGTGGGGTTTGTTTTCCTATAGATTAAATTAGCAAGAGGTTCCATCAGAGTTAGACTAGTACTCAGTCTTGCAACTGCAAAGATATCCACAGGGCTTTTTAATTTGAAGCCAAAGTTGGTACCAGTAAAAAAAATCCTCATGGTCTAGAAGAAGGAAGAAAAAACTTGAACAGTTAAACCAGAATATTTCTTGACCATATTTTCCCCAGAGATATATCCCAGGTATTTATATCCATGGGAAGAGACCGTGGGTGAAGACTCAAATGTAGCAATGAATGCTGGTCTGATAGCAGGGAGATTCTGCATGGAGCTCAGTCTTCTTCTTTGATTTATTAAATGTGTATGCTTTCCAGGAAAAAATTTATTAAAAGGGAAAAAAACCCAACACCCTAAACCTTTGACTGCACGAACACCACAACATTCTGGCCAAACCATAAAATATTTGAGTTGGAATTGCTGCCACGTTATGAGGAAAGGTTCTTTGTAATCCCAGTGAGTGTGGGCTTTGCCTCCTGGGAGACAATACCTCCCATGAAATACCACCTTTTCAGGCCTCCAGAATCCATCCTTTCTACCCTGCAAGGCTATTGACTGCTGCAGTTTTATATTTTAAATCTTTACGTTTATACAAGAATAAAAAACATGCATGACAAGAAGAGAAAAGCAATACATTTTTCTCTTATAGCCTGCTCCAACTCTTTCAGCTCAGTGCAGAAGAGCAGTCTGAAGCCAATGCTACATCCTCAGGCATTTGGAGCTGCTGTACTGCATTGGTTTCATAGTGAAATCACAATCTATGAGTATGTCTTTGGTTCTGCACTTTCGTTGCACAGAGAATAACTTCAGCAGGAAGCTCGTGATGGTTTCATTTACTTTAGCTATTCCAACCTGCATCTTCTGTCCAGCCTTCCACCTCTTTTCTTCAGCCCACAGATGTTTCCTTTGGGTCACCTAGAGTCACATAAGAAATTCGGTTTATCCCTGATTCTGCTTCTTATGTCCTGTCCTTGCTGGGTCTCGTAGGGTTTGTGGACAGACTCACAGGAATGAACAAAAGGAGGTCCAGAGACTGAACTTGCCAGCACACACTTGTTTCTGCCAGATCACCCCCTCACCTGCAGCACTGGCTGTTGCAATGACCCTTCTAGAGGTCTGTGCTGTTTGTTGTGATGCAGCTGGTGGGGTGGACGTGTTTTGGTTGCTGTTGGGTCAAAGCCATCCTTGTAGATCCACCACAGACCTGACTGTCTTTGCACAGCTCCTGCCTGTGGCAGGCAAGGGGAAGGTCTGGGCACATGAAGTATCAGTGGAGTAAATACAAGATATGTTTCTTTTTTAAACACCCTTTCTGTCTCTGATACCTGCTCTTATTTATTTATCTCCATTTCTTTCTCCCTTTGCAGAATACTTGAGGAGTGAGACCGCCTTTCTGGAAGAGTTGGTGTTTGGAAATGGAGATACCATTGAACTTTCCTGTAACACCCAAGGCTCTTCTGTGTCTGTTTTCTGGTTTAAAGATGGTATTGGAATTGCACCTACCAACAGAACTCATATTGGACAAAAACTGTTGAAGATAATCAATGTGTCATATGATGACTCAGGGCTGTACAGTTGCAAGCCAAGGCATTCCAACGAGGTCCTGGGAAACTTTACAGTCAGAGTTACAGGTATGTGCAGAAATACAGCTGTTTCAATGATTTTCTATTTTTTTTTTCTTATTTTTTAAATTTTTGCCCTTCTACATGTTCAGCACAACTGGTGGTTTGTGGTGTTTGTCCTTGGAGGGTCTGTACCTCCCTGGTAACTCCTGACAGTGATTAGTCTGGCAAAACAAACCAATAGAGGAATGCTTGCGTGTCCATACCAAATGTTGCAGCTTGATGTTAATACTGAGAGAGACTTAGAAAGGGTGCTAGTCAGATTAAACTTCAAATCCCCCTTAACACTCAAATAGATGCAATGCTACATGTGCCTTTGAAGTCTTTTGTGAGTGAGTGAACTGTGGCTCATGGGGGTTAAATGATATTTTCCATGTTACGTGACAAATCAGTGGCAAAATTGCACGTAAAAGCTGGAAATTCCTGAAAACTGTTTCTCTGTTGTAGCTGGTAAATCTCTGCCCTCCATCGCAGTTATCACAAATTGCTAGCTTGTTTTGGAGGTAGTTTATCTGTAAACTGTGTATATCTAAAATATGTGCTTCATCAAAGTTATTTATTGGGATTCATACATTACAAACAAGTGCTGTGTTAGCAAAGCACATGCTGTCGTTTGCTTGGCCATATTTTTTGTGATGAGGACGATAGAACAGAACAGCTACAAGCTGTCCAAGCCTGGATCACTAAACACAGAGTGCCAAAAAAATCTGTTGTTTCCAGATAGCTAACCACCAACACAAAGGTCATTTTCATTATTTCAGCCTGATTCATTGGTAGATGGATAGTCATCGCTGTGAGCAGATAAAAAACCTCCTGATCACAGGTTAAAAGCCTGAATTTTCAGGTGAATTAGCCCCTTGTGCATCTCAGGGTTCGAAAACTTTCATTTGCCCTCAAACTGTTGGAGCTTTTTCAAGAATCCTTGAATAGCAGGTCCTTTCTCCAAAAGTTGAGTTCCTTCAAAAAGTAAGAGTCTCTGTCTGAAAACCAAACACAGAGATGTTTGTGACTGTGAATCACATCCACTCCATAAAGAGCTTTCTCTTGCAGTAGGATTTTGTGAGAGAGAAAACCATAGTGAGAATAAAAGCTCGTTTCACCAAGCCTTTAGCAACATCTGCTTTTTATTGAACGTTACTGGAGATTGCTGTGAATGCTTCAAGGTCAGTTCAATTAAATGATTAAAGAAGTATTTGGCCCATGAAAGGCTTTCTTGAGCTAGGTATGATTATTGGGACTATCCAGAGAACTGCAGGTTGTTAGAAATGTTACTCTCTTTTTTTTTCCTAAGTGACATGAAAATGCTTTTGAGTTCAAGGGGCAGCAGGGAGGCAAGAGAGGGCAGCTGGTTACATGCTCAAATGAAACAGCTGCCAGCCCCAAAAGTTTGTAAAGTGAGAAATTGTTTTTAATAGTGGAAGGACTGATAATCCTCTGCTTTTAAAAAGTTTAAGCCCCTGTATTTTTCCTCTTCACTAATAATAGCTAATAACAGCTTAAGAACTAGCGAGTAACCTGAACCTGCTTTCTGACAACATTATGAGTCTTTGATTCTATTAGCCCACTGTCATTACCACCAAAGTGCTGGTAATGTGGGAGCCTACTTTTTAGCTGTCAGCAGCACTTGTTTTAAACTTTGAAGCCCTGCTTTATGTGGCAATAGTGGTGCCTCTCATATACTCAGGTATTTCTTCATAATTAGTATTGATTTCTCAGTGTGGCACTGCAGAGATGGGACTGTGATCAGAGATTTGTGGTTTGTGTCCCCTATTCTTAAAGGTAATGCCAGCAGTTAGCTCAGGTGTCTGGTCAGGTGTTCATGTGGATATCTGATGTTTGGGGCTGGAGTTATTCTCTATGTTAAACTGGTTTAAAACTGTACTAACAAACTGGAATTGCTCTGATATGTGTTCTTAAGAGCAAAACTAGGCTAGGTGTGTTTGGAATAGCTGATCCACACTTAAGTTCCATTTTGAGAGATGCTTCCACGTCCTAGGGGCATATCTGGATTTTCCTGCACAGAGCCATGAGATCTGAGTCTGCAGCAGACTGACTGTTCTGCAGTGACTCTGACTGCACAGGGGGATGTCTGATGTTGGAGGCAGAGCAAGGAGATGCTGGAGCTGGCATTCAAGGGCCAAGAACCAAGCTGATTAATGGCAGGATCTGATCTCTTTAAAATTCCTCCCTTGACAGACAAGGGCCTTGAGTGTTTTGCTAATTTACAAAAAGAAACATACTGTCCCCTTAAAAGCTGAGCACTTGGAAAGGATCGTGTAGAGGCTGCATGCCCAAACTGATATCAGCCCTGTTGGCAGAAGATCCATTTCTGTAACCATTTCATGCACAGAGCAGCCTTTGGATTTAGTGGCTGAGCAGAACCTCTGTGATGAGCATGGACTGTTCAGGCTGGTATCAGCAAACAGAGCTTTCAAAATACCCAAGGACAAGCATTACAAAACAAGTGACTGAACAAAGTTAAGTCTCTTTTCATTCATAATTAAAGCCCTTTTGAGCAGTTCTTGCCAATACTCAACAACTTCTGCAAAGGATTATTGTTTTAGGAAATGATAAACAAATAGCTTATAATTTTTAGTCACCTTTTGAAAAAGGTGATGTTTTAGTAACCTGAATAGGACAGTAGCTATGAGTACAGGATATTGGGTCTTAAAATCTGAGCTTCACATCTCATCTCAAAAACAAGAAAAGTCAAAGATTTCCCTCAACCTTGTGAAAATGTTTTTTAATTAGTTTAAAAATTGATTCTGCTCCTCTGGTCATGATGGATTCATTGGAAAGCAGAAGTAAACTATAATCATGTGCTAATATATGGGTAACCAAATCTGAGAGCAGAGCTGAAAAGGTGCTGATTTCTCTGTCGATGCTGCTGGGGATTTGGCTCAGTTTCTGCCTTCGCCAGGACTTGAGTAAACCTGCTGGATCAGCCAAAACACCTAAACATCCACTTCACTTTGAGCAAGCCCCATGGCATTTCCCTAGTTCTGCTGCCAGCAGGACCTCAACTGTGGATTTGCAGTTGGATATGTGTTAAAAGTCGCCCTTGAGGCTTTGCCAAGGAGAAGGTGCAAAGCACAATGAGCCCCTGCAGTCTAAGGCAGGGAGATGTTTCATGTGTTGCTTCTGTGGACGGTGAAAATGCCTGGAAGGCCCTTCCAGATTCTGCAGGGAAGACCTATTTGTTGTTACCTTTCCTTCTCTTTCCCTCTTTTTATCCCCTCCCCACCTTTTCCATTTTTACCTCCACTGGTTCCTGGTCAGAAAACAGTAGAAAACTCAAGTGCGTCTTGCAATGAAGGATGTTGTGCCTGGCTTGATCTGAAGCAGCACTTTACATTTCTGGCCCCATGTTGAACACTCATAATGTTTCCTGTTTTCTAATGTTTAAGGCCAAGTTCTTTTACCACTGTCTGAGAACATAAAGGCTACTGGGTTTATAGCATTTTGCCTTTATTAAAAAGAAAAATTCCTGGAGATTACGTAACCAGTAATTAGAGTTAAAAATTAGAATTAAAAAGAGTTAACTGTAAGTAGTGATGCTAAATCTTCCAGACTCTGAACTGTACTAAACTAAATTGTGTAAACTAAATCAAACACTAAGCTGCTATTTGATAATGGCATTTACCTTTACAGTATTCACTTGAAGGGGGGAAGAGGGACTGAGCCTTCATTGTGGACAGCTTGGAGAAGGTGAAATGTTAGACCACATTAAAAGAAGCAGTTCAGGATGTTTTGGAGAGATACAGATGGAAAATTCCCACCTGTTTACCTGTATTGAGTTACAGCCTTGAGGTGCCTCTGTGGGAGGAGTATAACTAAAGGGAACTGGTTCATGGAATAGCCATCAAAACGATGGAGAGAGGTTTGATTGCAAGAAGTTCAAAAAAGTTTTGGTCTTGGTGTTTGAACAAGGAGTTAATGAAGGGAGACGTGACAGGGGGATATTGAGTTAAAAGAAAACTGCAGGGTAAGTGAATTAGAAATGCTGACCTGTCGTTTTGAGACATGGTAAAATAAAAAGTCTTCAGAGTGAATGCTAGAGGGAAGAAAAAAAAGTCAGAGAGCTTGTTCTGCAAAAAGAAATTTTCCAGCTTAGAATTTCTTTTGTATTTATGAGTAAAGAGAGCATTTCACACAGGGAGAGGTATTTGACATTTGACCACGTTTTCAGGGCACTGGCAGACTCATGACACCTCTCTCCCAGCTGAGAAAGCTCCTGTCCAGTTGTGCCTGGCCCAGCAGCATCAGGGGCTGGGCTGGGGGAGCTCCAAGGGAGGGTGAGCCATCACTTGGATGTCCTCCCTTGCTGGAGCCTGTGACACCAACAGCCTCATCCAGCTTGGTGTCCCCACATACCATCCTCTTTCTGCTTCACTTCTCTCTTGTCTCTTTCCAGATTCCCCTTCATCAGGTGATGATGAGGATGACGATGATGAGTCAGAAGATACAGGTAATTTGTTTTTCTGAGATTTTTTTTTTCTTTGAAGAAGCTGTGGCTCCCAGCAGTGCAGCTCATCTGGGTGTTCATGTAGTCACACAGCAACTCTCTCTTTGTGTTGAAATCAGTGACCTTAGGATGGAACCATGATGAAATTTATCTAAAAATTTAGGAACAGCTGCCAGAGTGGTATTGCTGCTGTGGAATCCTACAGCAGCAGTCCTGTGTTTTGAAGACTTGATGCTGAGAATCTGAATAGATGAGTAGTTACAAATTCTCCTTGCATGTAAATCCAGACAAGCCCACTTACCCTCTCCCTCTCTCTCTCATATATTTGTTTTACTACACTGATGTTACACGAGTTTTATACCATTTCAAACATTGACTGCTTTACTTTTAATTGTAGTCTTACCAGCATCTTGACAGGAGTCAAAGTACAAAATTTACACTAGCCAAAGGGCCAAATTTACTGATGCCAAAAGTGGGAGCTTATCTTGGGCTTTACTGGCTTTTTCTTGCACTCCTGTGAGGAAGAGAGTCCCAGGACAGTGCTTGGTGCTTTCACAGTGAATCTCTCTCAATCCCAGTGCTGCTTTCTTTAAGTGCAATAGCATTAATCAGGATCGTTACAGGCTTCAGAGGTGTTAGTGTTGTGTTTTATTCTGCTCTTTATACTTCTGCAGAGTGAGCTGCCCATGTGTATGTGCTTTTAATAAATAAATGTCTTGCATTTGAACTCCCAGTCTGCTATGTACATTGGCAGAAGTTCAACGTGACTGGAAAATCTCTCCTGCCCATAGCATTGGACATGCAGGACTCTTTCAAACAGCTCTGCTGCTGCAATAATTTAATACTGCTGTGTGTGCAGTGTGTGGACAGTAATGGTGAGTTACAGTGCCAGGAGACCCATCAGCAGCAGTTAGTGGTTTTCTGATAGTTTCTAATTAGGGGGCAAATCCTGCCAGGTGACAGGCACCTTTGCAGAGGTGCTCAGGGCTCCTGGTGCCTGCTGAAGAAATGTACAGACATAGGGAAGGTCTGGTTTGGTCAGGATTTTTTCCCGCTGCAGTGTGGCTTCTGATGAGCACAACTGATCATTCTGTACATTTTTTGATGTGGTTAATAGAGAGCTCAATCTCTTAGCAACAGGTATCACAAAACATCAGCTGCCTTATGGTACAGAAAGACGTTTTTCTTCACTGAAAAGGAAAACGCACGTTTTGCCACATGTATTTATAGCCTGTTTTCTGGGTCTTCTTGACTTTAAAGCTGTCTCTGTTTTTAGACCTGAAAGTAATGGCTGGCTTTGCTTAAAGGTCTCGTTATAAAAAGTTGGATTCTGTTCTGGTTTAAAAATGGTCGATTAGCTTCACGTGTCAGTGCGGTGAAACCTCGCAGTGTTTTGTGACACGGGTGTGTTTTATGTTGCTTTCTTTGATGTCAGATCCTCCATGTAACTAACCCTCAGAGGTCTCCTGAGTCTGAGGAGTTGTGTTGTTGATCCTGGTACCACCACTGTCAGGACATCCCACCAGGAGCAGGGGCTGAAGGACCATCCCAGGCAGGCAGACACGGTGTAGGCAGTGCCATGTTCTGTGGGCATCCCAAAGACCCAGGTCCTCTATCTCCTCTGGCAAAAATGTGCCCTACTGATGAGGTGTTTGAGCCCCTACTCGGGCATCAGACACACCTCTGGTCAGTAGTTAGAGGAGGAAAGGTAATAAATACTTCCATGCAAAAGAAGAATGCCACAGACTCATAGGATGGTTAGGGTTGTAAGGGACCTTAAAGGTATATAGTCAGTATAACTGATAGTGTTATTTAGGGGGAGGCAATCCGTCCTGGACTGGCTCACTGAGTGTTGCCTCACTGCATATCACTAAATAAAATCCTTTTGTCCTGGCCCCTTGTGATGATAAGTTACTTTCCTGGCTTGATTGTGTTAGTCTGAACAGAGTTTCTCATCCTCATATCATGAAGAGTTTGGAAAGCTGATTCCAATACCATTGTGAGTTTGAAGCCAATCTTGTTAGTTTAAAGGGCTGGAAATACCAAATTCCATGTGGAGTGCCCTGCCCTGCTCACTCTCAGCTTCCTCTCTGAAGGGCAGCACAGAAATAGGGCATCCCTTAGGGATGGGCAGCAGAAAAGAATAAGGAGAAACTTCAGCAGCTTCAAATCAGCTCATTTGTTGCAGCCTTGTCACAAACCGTGATCTGCCTTTGCAGAAAGAGGCTTTCTGATACCTCTGTTCTCTACAGCTGTTTTTCCTGGCCCAGAAACAAAAACAAAACTCCCTTTTCACTCTCTGTGCTTCTGCCCCAGTGCTCCCTACCCCTCTTGTGTGTGTTTGTTTGGAGCCCCCGCTGCGCAGCCCCAGCACCTTCAAAGAGCCCCCATAATCTCCAATTAAATCTGGCTCTGTCCTCGGAGGCGTCAGCTGGGGAAATTACACAATTAGGGTTGATTCTGTCTGCCACAGAATTTGGTGGCAGCTCCTAATTGCTAAATGAGTGCTTGGCTGTATTAATTATTCCAAGTATTGCTCTCAGGTTTTTTTTTAATTGGTCATTCCAGTTGGATGGGTGGCCGGTGTCTTTGACGAACAAAACGGACCGTCAGGCTTAGTGTTTGATGATGGGAAAGGGCTGCTGATAATGTTTGCGGGTCCCCTTTTTTTTTTTTCACACCTGCACATGCAAAACCATTGCTGGTAATTAATTTAGAGAGCGCTAGTCTAGAAAATTTTCCTGTCTTTCATCCTTCCTCTTTTCCCGCTCCCAAAACTCTGTGGAGCTTCACAAGCTTTGCTTGAAAGGAAGAGTTAGCAACATTTTCAGCCCCTTAAAAAGTGGTAATGAAAGGACTCGGAGGGCAGAGCAAAGCAAAAGCAGGGATGTTTTGTTCACTGCTCCTGCAAGTGAGAACAAAGGCACTGTTTTCAATGTGTAGACGCTTTCTTCCAGTTCCAGTTTGACTTGAGTGCAATGCCCTGTTTGAATCTTGGCACAATAATCCAGGGGTGCCCAGCCCTGGCAAGCCCTGAATCTCACAGAAGAGCACCCAAATGAGGGAAAGCACTCAGGGAAGAAGTCATGTCTAATTGCAGCAGGCAGGAGCAAATCCTGCCTTTGCTCCGTATGGAGAATATCCCCAGCTGGAAACTTTCCTGGGCTCCATCTTGCTCCTCTCTGATGTCTGATAGCAAAATCTCCCTTGGCTTCAGTGACAACATTTGCAGCCAGTGGGTTGATGGATCTCACATGAGATTCAAACTCATCTTTTGAGTGAAAAAATGTGATAAAACATCACCCTGCAACACATGCAGATGTTTTGTAAAAGGGAAGAGCCCCAAAAGGCAAAAGGAGGAACCTGGTCCCTGACCAGGTGACCATGTAACATAATTACACTTCAGTGCCTAGGTGATTGTCACCACCACTATAAAATGGGATTTGTAGTGTGCAGATATGTTAATCAAATTACAAACAGCAGGTTATTTGGCTGCTCTCTGTGATAGTGGCAAAAGGGGACTTTTCCATCCATGCCTGGCCTTTGCCATACCTCCCCTGTAGCCCTGTTGACCTCTTGTAATGTCCCCAGAAAATCAAAGTGCATTGCCAAAAGGAAGCATTTGGCCAGAATATGGTCCAGGCTTCAGAAACCAGGCACCAGACATCTCCCAGCATGGTTTCTGGAGCCCTGTCCTCTCCAGCCTTCCCAATGCCACCCCAAGTGTCCTCTGCATTCATTCTCCTGCTGCTGCCTGGGGATTTGCCCAGGCTTGGCTTCTGCCCTTCCTTCTTGCTATAACAGCATCATCCTTTTACCATCAAGACCTGTTCTTCCTTTAGCAGTTGCACTCACTCTTCTAATGTTTTGGTTTTTTTTAATATTCCCCATTTTTGTGCAGTTCTACCATTTGGAATGGTAGATGGCTGCCTGGTGTCCCATTTTAGCTCACTTTATCACATAGTGTTTCAGGCCTCCTGGATGTGCTGTGTGTTCACAGCAAAGTTTGTAGCTGGGATTTTCCAGGACCATGGGAATTGTGGGGATTCCTCCCTTTGCTGTTGTTTGTGCCAGCCATACTCCTGCTGGATGCCGTGCCATCCTGGCAGGAAAAGGGCCTTGAGCAGTTTCGTTATTTGGAAAATGAGGCGTACACGGGATGGGTGAGCACAGATCCCTCTGATACGAGGGGCTGACTCTGATAGGCATCACACTGTTGTGCAAGGGCAGATGCAAACCCTCAGTGCTGGATTTCCCTCCCTGGGATGGCGTTACTGAGGCACCTACATCCAGCCATCCCACTGCAGAGGTGGGGAAGGGTGGGACATGAGCTGTGCCCAGCAGAGCTGTCTCTCACACAAGGAGGAGCATCCTGGATGGAGCTCCTGACATCCAGCTCCTCGTGGACTTTGCAAGGAGGGGGAAACATGAGGAGAGTCTTGGGAAGCACTAAAAACCATGGATTGCCTTGGCTGGGCTGTATGAACTTTCCTGCAATATCCTTGGAGCTGGAATGCAGCAGGGAGCCTGAATGGGGGGCACTGGGGTCTTACAGCAAGGTAGGGTCAACACTGACTCACCTGGAATTGCAATGGGATGGGTATGAATGCAGCCAAATGCATCAGGGCTAAGGAGTGCTGGACAAAGGGAGCAGCTCCCATGCATCTCAAAGGGATGCAACAAGAGGGAAAACTTTGTATACACCCTTGTCATTAGGGGGATGGGGATTACAAGGGTTTCAGAGTAGCACTGAGATGGGGCTGTGATGCTTGGAGGTGTTTCTGAGCATTGTCACCAGTGCAGGAGAGGCCAGCAGGAAGGCTTTCCCAGCAGCTTTGGTGGCCATCGTGCTCTCCAAGGCAGTTCTTGGAGGACCAGTGCCTTTAGTTTGTCTTGGCCAGAAGCACACATACCACTGCAATTGGTGCTCCATGTCTGAGTTTTTCCTACCCAACTGGAGATGCCATTTACACTCCTTGCCCTCCTTCTTGCTATATTGCAGCCCAGACACTGCCTGCCTCCATCTCCCTTTGGCTTTGGTTGGAGCACAGATCTGGGGGGCTGGATGTGGCCCTGGTGTGGCAGGGGAAACACAGCATGTGCAGCTCTGCAGTGGTTTCCTTAAGCAGAAATGACAGCTTGGGAGGCTTTTTAAAAAACTTTTTCTTTCTTCCCTGTGTAATGAGTTTGCCGCGGCTGCTGCCTTAATTTGGAGTTAATATGTAATGTTTGTAACACAGCCAAGGAACGTAGCTGTACTTGAGGCAGATTATAAAATGTATCTCATGCTAACACGGGTGTTTTAAAATTTATCCCTGTTCAAAGGTAATATGAATCTTTAAAACTAAAATCACTCCTACTTAAAGAACATAAACATGATAAACCAGTTTGGCACTGGCGTGGTTTTTTCTTTCCTTCCCTTAAGGAGGCTACACTACATTTGTACTCATTGAGGAGGAACATTTTCCAGTGCACTCAGCTCATACTTTTTCTCTGCTCCCTTGCTGGCCCATCGACATTCTTTTACAGTTCTAACATCTTTCTGCTGTTTATGCTTCTTGGCTACTAATGTCCCAAAGGTACATCTGTATCTTTTTACACACTGAGGCCAGATTCTCATCGTGATCTGGGATAACTCTACTTGTTGATTTAAAAGCAGCCACATTAGATTTATACTGGCATTACCAAGACAAGAACCTGGTCATGAACCTTTCATCACAAAACTGAAATGCTAACACCCTCTCTCTGTCTATGAGAGTCATTTAGCTGGAAAGCATTTCTGAGTCATTTATCTTAACTGCAGCAGGTAGCAATTTAACTGTCAATCTGCACATGCCAAAGACTCCTCAAATGCATCTGCTCACCAGCTGATATCCTGTGTGGCAGAAATGGGCCTGTTCAGCTTGGTTTTTCCTTTCCCAGGTGTCCCCTTCTGGACCCGGCCAGATAAGATGGAGAAGAAGCTGCTGGCAGTTCCCGCCGCCAACACCGTTCGCTTCCGATGTCCGGCGGGTGGAAACCCAACTCCTTCCATCTACTGGCTGAAAAATGGCAAGGAGTTCAAAGGGGAGCACAGGATTGGGGGCATTAAGGTAAGGTCTTGGTTTGGATCTCAATTTTTTATTATTTCTACCAACTAGAGAATTGTTTTGCACAGTGATCAACAAGGGTAGTTTTAAGAGCGCTGTCCTGACTATGTAGAAATGAAGGTGGTTCTTGCACTCTTAGGAATTGCTTGGCACCAAAATGTTAAAAAGGACTGCTGTCCTTCGAGATCAAAGGCTAATTCTCTCAGAGTTTATCTATAGTGGTCATTCAGGGAGTAGGTAAAAACAGGGTTAGGTTTATGGTTGCATTGTGAGCAGGGATGAAAAAGGAGGAGCAGAAACTTCTGTCCTAATTTCTGGAGATAAGCCCAGTGCATTGAGATGTGTTGGGCCAAGCCATAGCAACTTCCAGTTCTCAAAGAAAGCCTATTCAGTGTTCTTTGAAGGTATAGGAAAGACCTCACCAAAGAGCTGGATCCTCATGCTGGTAGTCATTAACATTCTTGTGGTATAAATCACTGACCCTTGGTCAAGTGTTGGATTCCCTTGTAGCCAGAGTAATAGCATCTGCTCCTTGGCTGCTTTCTTCTCCCTACTTCCTTTCTACCATGAGGTGTTCTGGAAAATGCTCTGGCTCATGTTTACAGATAGAGCTCAGGGACACAAAACTCCACTGCAGTTAAATTATTTAATTATCCAGAAGTCTCTGCGCTACTTTATGTGATGAATTATGGCAGGATTTTAAAAGGAAAATCAGCTTTTATCGGATTTTGCTGCTGTTGTTATTACTTTGTCCCCTTGAGGTCACAGTCAGATTCTTTTTTCTGGTTTTATTTGGGGACAATAAAACTGGTGCAGCTGATCATAACAAAATCATCATAGCAGGAAGGACTGCTGAACAGCAACTTTTCCCTGTGCTCTGCCAGCCCTGACATATTCCTGGACTCTGCTGCTAAGGAGAGAAGGTGCCTTGTAGGAAGCTGTGTGCTGATGCCTGCCACATCCATAGTGTTTAGAAAAAGGACTGGGCATGCAAAGCATACCATGCTCCAGAAACCAGAGAAGGATTCAAAAAGGTCCTCCCTCCCCACAGTTTTGGGCTGTTTCTTTCCTGTTAGCTCAGACCTGTTCCTGAAAGAGCCTTTTGTGATGGCTTCAGTGAAGCCTTTAAAGCTCCTTCCTCAGTCCTGTCCCTGCTCCAGCCTGGATGAGGCTGAGAACACACTCAGGTTTGGATCTTCTGAAAAGCCATGGAGGGTAAAGAAGTGGGGAGGCAACTCCTGCGGGTAAACTGCTCTTCAGCAGATGACATTCACAAAGCACGAGCATCTTTTGCTAATTGCAGGCTGTGAGGATCATCCTGAAGTGTTTTCAGGCTTGTGTGCGCCATTCCAGCAGCTTCTTACTAAACTGTGTCACATCAGCTGCACTAAATTATGCCTGCAGAAAAAAAAATCTAAAGCTGAAAGTAATTCCCCTACCCACTTTCCAGTAGTTTTAATCTATCTTTGAGTTTAAATTGACACGTTTCATCCTCTAAAACATGGTAGTGAGTCTTTGGCATCGCTGTGCTTTGTTTCTCTGGGGGCACCTTCCAGCAACAAGTCAATGCTTAAAAGAGCTGTTGAAGGCAATGTCAGGACAATTACAGGAAGATTGGTTTAAGCTCTCTATCTGTCTAGGTGTAGCTCTTTGTCCCATTCTTGATATAAAGACATCTTTCTTTGTAATTTTCCTTCCTTTATTTGTTTGCTTTTGGTCATGAGCCACAGTTAGATATAACTAATCTAGTGTAAATCTCATCCAATATAAATATACTGATAGATATCAGCTGAGATTTGAACCAGAAAAGGAGATTGAAAACCTGCTCGGTATCTCATGTATTTAAGATTTAAATTCCCTGTTACAACTTAACTTCATAACAGGATTAGGCAGCTTGAAAAGAATGGGTAAGATCCAGATCTGGCAGGGTTTGGTTGGCTTGCTTCATCTCGAGATCTGGTCTTAACCCAGAAATCCTTGAGCTGGGAATGTTCTCATTTGTTTTCAGTGTGTGAAAGATGTTTAAATGTTGATTGTGAGAAGTCTGTTGTCAGCAAATGAAAGCTGACCATTCTTCCACATCTGCACCTTGCACATGGCATTTAGACCCATGTGACTGTCCAGTGTAAAGCCTGCAATAGAGAAGGGTGAGTGTTGAAAATATGATGGGCAGGCTAACCTGGTTTTGTTACAGTTCATCCTTAACTGGTAAAGAAAAGAAATTCATATGACTTATCATATGAAATTTCCCAAAGAGCATTAATGGTTAAATCCGTGTTGGAATCTCTAATATTGTAAGCCTGTGTGTGTTAAATGACCCTAGAAGGGAAGATTGAGGGGGAGGGGAGATGGAGGATTATCCCTTCCCCAGACCATTGCACTGACTTGCATACCAGTCTGGCAAACACGAGGTTCCAAGTGTGTCTGCAAATGTTTGTTTCACAAGGAGCCAAGAATGACAACACCAAATAAACCAGAGGGATTTCCAGTATCTCACCCACTTGATTAATCCTGCACTAAGTCACTTCATGTTTCTGGTGTTTTATCGAGTGCAGGAGCTATCCCAACATGAGATTTATTATCCTTTGCCAAAGGTTTTCAAAACTAAAAATGTCTGTCTAAGTTTCCAAACAAGTTCTGCCCCGTGAGTCTGTGCCCCTAGGTTCTTCTCTATTCAGAGTCCAAAGTTCCCATCACAGACCTGTTGAAGAAAAGTTCTTTGAAAGTGTCATAAAACGGTCTTTGAAAGTTCATCCTTAGTAAAACACCTAATTTGGACCTGGTTTTATAATATAGCTCAGACCAGGAAGTCATCCATGTGTTTGGAGCCCCATTTCCTTGGAGTAACTCCTAGGGGTTCCAGATACAAACGTTTTGCAATGCTGAAAAGTAGATTTAAAGAAGCCTTTAGACACAACTGTGAGACAAGCCAGTATGGAAATGAGCCACTGAGCAGCCACAAATTTGCATTGAAACTTCCGTGACAGTGTGGTGTGTTCAGCTGTGGGGTCCAGGCTCTCTGTTCTCAGAGCTTCTCTTACTCTGTAAATGCCACACAGTTACAGAGATGCAGCCAGGGGGATGTTGGTTCTGCTCCTTCATTGAGCTCCTCCGTTTGTGCCATTCTGGGTGGGCAGAGGTGCAGTCAGGGCTGACCAGACACTTACCACAGCTGTCTGCACAAAGTGTTTGGTCACAGCCTCCTGTTACCCATACTCTGAAATGAAAAGAAATGCCATATTCAGCATTTTCTGAAAAACGGGTTACTTAGCAGTGCTGTTTTCAGGGCTGCAAAGGTCTACAAATTGTTAAAATGACATTTGCTTGCTTATCTTGCAACTAACCTGTCTAGTCCTATGGTTTTAAACCTGCTCTTTGCAAAGTTCTGGCTTTGATTGCAACTTGGCCTTTTTACAGAAAGCATGTGGATGCAATTTATGTGTAGCAAAAGAGGTTAAATGACTTCATATTTGAGTTCACCTGCTGCAGCAAGAAATCTCCAGGAGCAATTACACCCTTGTTTTTTCCATCAGCCCTTGACTTTCCACAGTGCAGCACTATTGTAAATCTCCTGCTTCTATGTCCTTGGGGTCACCTTCAGAATGTTTAATTAAGTTAAATGTTCTGCTTTGGGCGGCAGAAGGCATCAAATTAATATCCAGAGATTTGGAGAGCATTCATATTCTATGCACCCTGAAGTCATCTTTGTTACTGTTGGTTGCTTTCTGTATTAATTCAAGATTTGCTTTCCATATCCATTATTTCCTTTATAATCATTAGAAACAATCGTTGTAGCTGAGATCACAGGGCAGCAGGTCAGGTTTGTGCTTTCCCTTCTGCTACTGAACCACCATCAGCTCTGGACATGAGCCTCATCCAGAAAACCAACTAGCATACAACTCGGTGCCAAAATAGAACAGCTGGCCAGGCATCCTTGGGACCAGATTTGAGGCTGGATATGTTTGCTCCTGTCAGCTGGAGAAACCTGTTTCTGTTCAGACAGATGCCATAACATGTTGCCTCCATAGCACACACATTTTGAAATATATCACAATATTATATCAGAATATTAAAATATATAATGCACATAAAATATCCTATGTGATGCCTACTGAAGTTGTTATTCTAATGAAAGGTGCCACATTTAGTTGTCAGCTGGCTTTATTATTGTGATTATTGTGGAAACATAGAAGTCCCCATTGAAATCTCAGTGTGTTGCATTGTGTTGCATAATTTTTACATTGGTTTTAAAGTCTTATCTCATTAATACTTGAATGACCTTTGTAAACGAGTCCTTGTGATGTCCAGGCTTCCTCTGGGGTCCAAGTGTGTGGAAGCTCACTGGTTGTTCATTGGTTTGAAGGGTCTGGTGATGATGGTTTGATTTTTTTGTTCTAGCTGCGACACCAGCAGTGGAGCCTGGTGATGGAGAGTGTTGTGCCATCAGATCGGGGCAATTACACCTGTGTCGTGGAGAACAAATACGGCAACATTAGGCACACGTACCAGCTTGATGTGTTAGGTGAGATTTCACTGTTTTCCCTCAACAGCTGACCTGTCCTCATCTTGAATAGCTGCATGGTAGCATATGGGAAGCAGGAGCTTGGTTTCTTTCCCAAAGTGTTGGATCATGTGTCTTCTAAAACCAACAACAAGATTCTTTTTGGCCAACAATTCGGGCTCACATCTGATCAGTAAATTACTTAGTGGGTCTGCAGAGGGCCCAGAGAAGGAATGGCAGGGCTGAAATGCCTCCTCCCTTCCCAGGTGGTTCTTCCTGGCTTGAGAAGCCCTGGATAGAGCAGTGATCAGGACACCCGTGGGGGACAAACCTGGTTTGTGCCCTTCCCCCTGAAAAGCCAGAAGATTAGTGTTTCAGAGAACACTTGCTGGGGAAAAATAAGACAAGTAAATTAGGGTTTTTGCTCTTTTCTATTTTTCAGAAAGGTCACCCCACCGACCAATCCTGCAAGCAGGGCTCCCTGCCAACCAGACTGTGGTGGTGGGGAGCAATGTGGAGTTTCACTGCAAGGTCTACAGTGATGCCCAGCCTCACATCCAGTGGCTGAAACACGTGGAAGTCAATGGCAGCAAATATGGACCCGATGGGACCCCGTATGTCACAGTGCTGAAGGTTGGTACATGCTCCTCCTCCTCACCCTCAGGGCAGTCCTCCTGGAAGCCTGCCCAGTGGAATACTCTGCTTTTTAGAGGGGATGCAGCAAAAATGTCCTGAAATCCATGTTCCAAACTCTTCTGTTTGCCAGAGATAACACTACTACTGTGGTGGCACAGATAAGCAAACTTGTGAGAGCTGAGGCAGTTGTGAGAAATGCAGCATAATGAAAGAGCTGTCAGATTGCATTTGACCTAAAATTGTAAAAATACCCTTTTTTTTTTTGCAGCTTCAATGGAGGTATTTTCAGGGTTTATTAAAATAAAAGTCTCCCAACTAAAACACATTCTTCCTTTTCCAAGTAAGCACATTGCAGCATGCACATACCAAAAAATGCTGAACTACCAGCACCTGAGAGCCAACATAATCTTGTTCCAGCCACTAAATTTGTGAACATTGCTATTGCCAATGCTCAGAAAAGCCTTTTTTTTTTTCTTAATTCGAGCAAAAAGTACATAGCAAGACTTCAGTTTTCTAAAATGCTTTCTTGAAAGGCAACTTTCAGATTATAGCCATAACAAGGCCAGGGGACTTGGTTCCCCTCAACCAATGTAAATATAAATGTAGGGAATAGGGAGTGAGGAGCTCATTGAACTTCTAAAATACTTAAAAAGAAAAAAAATTAGTTAAAGGCATCATCTGGCGGTGTCTATTAAAATATATAGGGCCAAATGGAGTTTTTCTGGCTCTGCAGTTAGTGCTGAAAGCAAATTTTGTCTCTGTAGCCTCAAGCTGAGGCTGTCCTGTGTGTGGACATTGCCTGTGCACATCCTGCTGCACACATCCTTCTTCTCTTTGTACGAAGTTTAAAAAAAAACCAACCACCACTTATCAGACAGTATCTACAAAACTGTAACGCAGCCAGATACATTCTAATAAAAGCCAGAGACCCTGGAAATAATTACACAGATTGAAATAACAGATTGGTTGGAAGAAATGGTTGGAGACTGTTCTTCAGGACTGGCAGCATGTGCTTCTCGCGAGTTTAGAGAACTTTTTATTTCTCGCCACCTCTCCAAATGTGTTTGAATTATGCATATTTGAATTTCCCCCTGGTTTCACAGCCCAGTACCAAGCTCTGAATAGCTGGTTGTGTCACATGCCATCTCATATAGTCTCTGAGCTCCGTGTGTGGTCCCCGTGGGATAAAGTGCTACCTTTTGGAAGTTTGCAGAGCGGCTGCGAACAGTGCCTTGTGTCACAAGCACAAGCCCCCATTTTGCCGTGGCAGAGAACATATAAATAGTCTGTATAAATAGTGTGTTAAAATTAAGTTGGAGCGGCACTGGGGTGGGTAGGTAATTAGAATTGCCAAATACCTTCTCTTCTGTGGACAGCAAAGGCTCCACATTCCTCGAAGGGGAGCACAGGCAGGCGTTTGAAAGCACAAGTTTTGTTTGGTTTTATGTTTTTTTGCTGAATAGGACCAGCACACGTCTATTTACTACTTCTGGTTAATCAGGAATGCTTTGAATTGTGTTAATGCCGGCATCAGCGCTGGGGCACGGAGCATTTCCATTTTGGGATGCATCTTTTGTGTGCCAGTACTGGGCCTCCACAGAGCTGTGTCAGGCCCAGCTTTGCAAGGACTTATTTTTTTTTTTTTTTTTTTTTTCCCTTTTTAAACGTGATGTGCTTGTTTTTTTTATAAGTAAAGATCTGATAAAATGATCTTGCTGTCGTCTCAGGGCCGGTCTGTTGGCTCTGTGGATTTGTTTTCCTCATGCCAGGCAGTGCTGCTGCCTTATCCCAGCATCCTGGCAGGAGCAGGGTGCTGCTCACAGCCCCCTGCCCACAGAGCTGCTCTCTCCTGCCCCGTGCTGTGCTGCACACAGGGAGATAAGGCTTTTTTTTTTATCAGCCTGCCCTTCCCTTCTGCTTTCAGGAGATTTTGTGGAGTGTAGGAGCTGCTGTGGGGCAGTTCAAATATGGGGAATATCCCTGTCTCCATCTACAGCAAGGGAGACAGAGAGGTGTCCAGCATGTGAAAATTCCTCCCACATCTAAAGGGGGAGGGTGGGTGTCAAACCCCACCCAAGTCCAGATGGATAAGTTGAATGCTGTACTTTCAAACCATTTTTTAAACAGCCTGACAAAACCAAGCCGTCACCTGCATCAGTTCCTGAAAGCCCGGGCTAATTTGTGATCAAAGAAAACCCCTTTTTCTTTGCAGAAGAGCACTAAATGCATTCCAGTTACAGAGGGGGGCTGGCAACACTGTGCCCAAGCTTTGTCAAAGGCTAAATTGTACATTCTGCATTGAAACATGCCCGGTTTAATTATAAACAAGGCAGCAAGAGCAGGCAGGCACGTTTCCCCACTAGTCAGGGCGGACAGACTTGCATGTAAGCCTTAGAGATGAGCTCAGGTCAAAACTGGTGGTGTTTGTCATCAGACATGGACACTGAGGCTCCTCTGCCTCCTCTGGGTTCAGTTCCTAAAAACCCATCAGAGCTGGCTGCCCCAATGACTTTAATGAGCTGCAAGTCACACTGGCAGGATCAGGTTTGGAAATGGAAGGCATCAAGACTGGACTGGAGAGTGTAAGACCCAAACAGAGAGGAGAATTGCTTTATTTTCATTTCCAGAGCTGAAGCTTCTTCTGAGGCCACTTAAAACAGTTATGCATTTTCAGCCAAAATAAAAACAACTCTTTAGTGTTTAGGGAAAAAGCTGATGTGCTGTTGTGGCAGCACAGAAGAAGAGAAATAAACCCATTGCTTAAAAGTCTGAAGTTTGTTTGATTTATATACACCACTTTATTTAGTAAAGAAGAGGCTCCTATAAGCAGTGGAAAAAATTACAGCTAATTTCTGAAAGGCAAAGTCAGCAGCGAGTTTCAGACCGCCACTGCTTATATTTTGTTTCCAAATTCTATTTTGGAATCTGATAATTGAAACAGTATTTGCTGAGCCGGGTTGCAAACACAAATCTCTGCTTAAGCCCTTTCTCTGTTGCTCCTGTCTGCGGAGTTATTAAGAAACCGTAGAGCCTTTGACTGCTGTCAGATCGAGAAGGGGCAAACTGGTCTGCTTTAAAAAAGGAATTGCATGTGTGAAGGGAAGGGAGCTCACCTGCACGTGGTTTGGGGGCCAAAGGCAACTTCTCCTGAGCAGGCAGGTCCTGGGTTCGGTGTCTCACCCCAGGGTGAGCTGGGGATGTCACCACAGCCGTGCACAGTCAATCCTAGCTGATGTAGGTGCCGTGCAGCTATTGTTTGGTTTACTGAAGTTCAGGTTTCTGTCTATTCCTGCAGTCTTGGATCAGTAAAAACGCTGAAGCCGATGCTAACCTAAATCTGTTCAATGTGACAGAACAAGATGAAGGAGAATATCTGTGTAGAGCCAACAATTTCGTAGGCATAGCCGAAAAGCCATTTTGGCTCCACATTCGCAAACCAAAACCAGGTAAACCACAGACTCTGTCCCAAGGCCCTGGCAACTGCAAGAATGAGCTATAACATTTTTAAGAATCTAGTGATTAAAATTACTATTCATTTTGTATTATACCCTGTCAACTGACGCTGAATGGCTTTATCTTATTTTCTTGCTAATTTTTTTTTTAACAAGACTGTAACGCCTATACAGCAATTGCCATGGAAAAATTCCCACAATAAAATGACTGTCAAATTTTGCTATCAACTCTTCATACTTTTATTCCTTTCCTTTTCTTTCCTTACAATTGAGTGCTGATAACAGAATTGCATGTTAATGACCTGTGACGTTCCAAGCTCTGGAAAACCAAACTGTTTTGAGTTTTTCACCTACAAAACTGAATTAATCAGTTCTGTCTCTTGGAGAAGTAATGGAGAAATAGATATCAACATTGGCACATGCAAGCGAATGTTAACTAGAGAGGAGAACCGATCTCATGGGTTCTGGGGTTTGACTCCAGCCCAGAGGGTTTGACTGCTGTGTCATTCAGTGCCACTGCAAGGAAGTTCCTTATGGGCACCCTCTGCTTGTCAGCCAGATTCACTGCAGTGTTGAGGTCTGGAATCCATATGGCTTTGGGATGCCCACTGAAGAAATTCTAAAAAATTGTAGAATTCTATATTTTTCAATGAACTCATGAAGCCTAGTGTTTGTAAATTCCTCTGATCAGCACTTGAATCTTTCCCCACTACATCTCCCCACCTTTCTCCTTTCTTTCTGTCTTTCCTCATTTCCCGTCTCTTTCCCCACCCCTGTACTCACCTCACTAATCCAAAGTCAGTCATATTGTGGGGGCAATTTTTCATTTGGATGCTTTTGCTTGCATGCTTCTTTAGTGGGACAGAGTAAGAACCTGGTGAAGGGAACTTTTTTTTTTTGCTTTTGACTGCAGGTTGCAGAGGGGAATGAATAAATAAATGTGGAAGATGGGCCATTGGAAAATAAAATTAAAAAAAAGAACCACCTTAATCTGCTTTTGAAATTTGCCTGTGGTGTCCTCACACTTGCTGGGAATGTGGCTTATTCTCTGTTTTCCCTCTTTCTATATGTGTGTGTTTTTTTTCCCCGTAGACGGCAGGTGTTAACACAACGGATAAGGAGCTAGAGATTCTGTACTTGCGAAATGTAACTTTTGAGGATGCTGGGGAATATACTTGTCTCGCAGGGAATTCTATTGGGTTCTCACATCACTCTGCTTGGCTGACGGTGCTACCAGGTATTTCCTTCTGTGCTGGCCTCTCCTTCCCTCTCCAGGATGCCTCCATGTTTTGCTTTAGAAATGCCAAGTTCCCAGAGACCCCACCCCTTGCTTGGAGCCAGGGGTGTTTTCCAGGGAGGCCTCTTCTCTGGGATTTGCTGCAGACCCCTGTTGCATACTTGCAGCTGACTCTTTTTTTCATTGCATCTCAAAATTTAAATGATTGCAGTAATGATACAGTAAAATACACAGAATCATATTTTTTGTCTAATAACTGGGAGGTATTCACAGCCTCTCTGTTAGGACTGTTAAGTGCCAGGAGCTTTGTCTTCTTCCACTGACAGTGGGAGAAGAAAACGTCCCCATCAGATGATTCAGGGCACCTAAATTGGACATGAACTGTGGATCATCTTGTGAAGGATCCTTTCTGTCTGACCTCATATCTTAACCTAAAATTAGATGCATAAGTGTCTGGTGTGAGTACACCCTTCCCTGCCTGTAGCATTATTTCCACTTCACGGATGAGCAGGCCAAGATAGTGATCTCAAACAGAAGGTCAAGGAGAGTCATCTGTGGGCAGAGCACAGGAGTCCTGGCTCCCAGGGGCATTGCATGCTGCCTGCTCCAGCTGGGATCGATGAAAGCTGCAGTGGGCTTGAAACCCGAGGCCAGAGTGACCTCAATTTTGTGGTCCTTTCATGTGCAAAGCTCTTACTGACAATGAAGCCAGCACAGAATGTGCAACAGAGAGATCTGCTCTGCAAAAGGGGGAATGAGGCTGTGCTGCCCCTTCACCTGCTGAATCTGCCTCTGGCTGCAGGGCAGGCTTGGGCACGGTCCAGACAAGTACCAGCAATATTCACATTGAATCTCATATGTGCTGTGCCTTACAGACAGTGCAGAAACGAACCTCAAGTGTGTTCAATACACCCTCACTGAAAAGGCACCCAAAATCCTAAAGAGCCCACTTTGATTCACCCAGTCATCGACCACAATTGGGTCCATCTCACAACACATCCATCTCAGGATGTGTTTAGGCACTGGAAACTTTGGCATTTCTAATCTTGACTTTATCTGTGCGGGTGATTTGGATGTAATCACTTTTACTGGGACTTAAGAAGGTCTCCACACCCAACCCTGCTGCCAGTGGGATCTGCTGATCTTTCCTGTTTATTTGCCAGCTCTGTAATAGCTGATCTGATCCTGTTTCTGTTTCTGACATCCACTGGATGAGAAAACATTTCCTTTGGTTAGAAGACTAATGTCTCTGTTATTTTCAGAATATCACAATATTGTCTCATCTGACTCATACTCTGCTTTTACAGTTTATGAGTTCACACCTCTTATTTAAGCAAAAAATAAGCAGGAGGAAACCGAGCAAAAATCAAAAAGTAGAACTTTATTTTGAAGTCAGACGCAGTGAAGGAGAGCCATCTGTGCAGCAGCAGGCCCCCACGAGAGGGTGCAGGACACAGCCCATCTGGGGAACCTCAGCTTGAAATGCCCTGTCCATGCTACAGGAGGAGAGACAGGGAGCAGAGGGCAAAGCAGTGTGGGACAAAGCAGCAGAGCTGCAGCACCTGATCCCAGGAGATCTGGTACTTGTGGGAGGAGATGGTCATTGGTAGGATCAGGCCCTTCACAGCTGTCACACAGGCTGAAGCAGCCCCCAGTGTCACCAACAACTCTTTCTCCACGTCCTCCTGGGCACTGCCACCAAATACTTGAAACAGAGCCTGCTGCTGCCAGGGAAAGGCTCCTGCTGCTTGCTGAAGGGGCTGCTCAGCAATGGACACGATCCATTACTGAGCTAACCACACCAGCATGACTTCATTATAAAGCTTCCCACTGCTGACTGTCCCTCTGATGCCAGAACACCTTTGGGAGACAGAAAAATCAGTCCCACCATGGCTCCTTCCTCTGGTCAACATGCCTGTCCTGAATTAGGCAGATTTTTCTCTTCAGACTTTTTCCCTGTGCAGTGCTTTACTGCTGGGTGCTGTTCAAGCCCCTGCATTCCTCAGGGCAGGCACTGGTCTGGTGGAAATGTTTGCTGCAGAATCTGAATCAGCAAAATGCAGCGAACCCCAGTCCTGCACATCCAAGGCATCCAGCCACATTGTGTGGGTGTGTGGAGAGAGCAAGACCTGGGTCAGAGGGACAGCACAGACGTGTGAAGATGCCTTCAGCCTAGAGCAGTGGTTTTCAATCTGTGGGCTGGGGGCTCTTAAAAACCCAAAGTAATACAACCCCCAAAAGGGCAAACTGAACTAATATTTTAGCTACAGCTGCAGGTGGAAAACCACTGGCCTGGGAGAGTTCCTCACTGAAGTCACTGACACTGATGTAGCTGAACAAATCCTGCCCATATTCTCTGTGCTGTATGTGTGTAGTTATGAGTGGGCAGCTGCCCACCCTGTCCTGACTGCCCTCTCTTGTCACCCTGCAGCTGAGGAGCTCATGGAGATGGATGATTCGGGCTCAGTGTACACTGGCATTCTCAGTTATGGCACTGGCTTTTTCCTCCTTCTCCTGGTGCTGGTCTTGGTGATTGTCTGGAGGATGAAAATGCCAAACAAAAAAGCCATGAACACCCCCACTGTTCAGAAAGTCTCCAAATTCCCACTCAAGAGACAGGTAACAGAAAGTAGATACAAGATTCCTATTCCCCTCTATGGTATCCCTCTTTTTTTTTTTTTTCCCCTCCTCCTTCTCTTTGACATTCTCTCTCTAGGTGAGAAGCTCCACCAGAAAAACATTGCCCAAGAGGGACATAATTTGGCTGCAGCCTAGAAGTGTAACCCCCTTTCATTTGTTTCTATGCCCATGGAGCTTTGGCTGAGGTGGCAGCTGACTCTGGCTCATGAGCAGCCCCCACTGCTGTTGGCCTTGCCCAAGAGCTTTTGGCAGTGCAGTTGTGGGTGCCACAGAAAGCACATCTGGCAGGGGAAGTCCAGTCCAGGCTCCCTGGAGGAGCAGAGATTTGGGGAGAAGGAGCACTGGTTGTGCTCATTCCTGCTTTCAGAAATGTCACTGGTGAGCCCAAAGCTGTTCTTGTGGAGGTGGCAGAAGATCCTTTGTGAAGTTAGAGATGTTCTGCATTAAATTGCAGAGGAGCAGGAGACACCATGTGAAAACCCAGTGAGGGGTACAGATTTCAAGCCTTGACTGAAAGCTTATGGTGGGCATTGACAGTGCCAGGATGGGAGAAGTCACTTCATAGCCTGTATGGGCTGTGGAGATGCAACAGACCAACTGAATGGGTTATACTTCCTGATGCTGGGGGACACTGGCTGACCTGTGACCTCCTTTTCACCTGCTAAACACAACCACGGGTGCCTAAACGAGTGGATTTCTGCAAGAGTAGGGGCATTTCCCAGGTAGAAATTCCCAGAAACCTGTCCATGGGCACAGAGCTCAAACCTCCTCAGTGGCCCATCTCAGGCTCTGCCTGCCCTGGAGATACAGGTGGCAATAACACTTCATTTGCTCTACCCAAGCAGGTGTCGCTGGAGTCCAACTCTTCCATGAATTCCAACACGCCCCTGGTCCGGATCACGCGCCTCTCCTCCAGCGATGGGCCAATGCTGGCCAACGTTTCCGAGCTGGAGCTGCCCCCAGATCCCAAGTGGGAATTGACACGTTCTCGGTCAGTCAAAGCCACGGGCTGGGATCTCTGTGCCTGCTGGGAGTGTCCCCACACCAGGACCCCCTAACAGACCTGTTTGTTCCTCCCTCCAGCCTGACCCTGGGGAAGCCGCTTGGCGAGGGGTGTTTCGGCCAAGTGGTGATGGCAGAAGCGATTGGGATTGATAAGGACAAGCCAAACAAGGCCATCACAGTTGCTGTCAAGATGTTAAAAGGTATGGGGAGTCCACAGAGGACAGAACAGCATATTGTGCTGGGATTTCCTCTCTTTGCCTCTCCTTTAAGTCTTTTATACAAGCAAGATACAGAAGAAGAAAGCTACAGGAGGGGAACAGCCTCCCCTCGCCTTTACCCACATAGCCTGGGGGTGAGGGCTGTCTTTGGAGAGCAGGCTAAAGTGCAAATCCCATCAGGAAGAGGGACTGGGAATTAACCCAGTTCTCTGCCAAGGGGTAATAGTATCTCTGGCAAGAAGGGGAATCCCCCTCACTTCTAGCCAGCTCCAGGAATCAGCCCCCTCCTTACTCCTCCCCTAACCAGTGCTGCCTGTTCTACCAAAAACTTACGCAGCAATCTCAACGGAGTCTGCAGAATTTCAGCTGACAAACTGCTAATTGAGGAACTTTTTCATTGAAGAAACTTGATCCCAGACACCTGAGAGGTTAAAGGGAGATCAGAAATGGGGGATTCAGTGGGTGCCTCTAGATAAGTCTCCATTTCCCATCCTGCCCCCAGACAAACTAACCACAGACAGCTGAGGAGTTCACCTGGAGCAAGCAGGGCAGCGAGCAGCCTGGGCCTGAGGTTACATGGGGGGTTGTTCTAAAAAAAATGTAATATTTCTTATCAGAAACAGGTTTATTTAATTTACATTTCCTGCAGCCCTTTTTGAAGCTGGTTTTGGAAGTAGGAGCATTTCCATCTTTCCAAACCAAAATATTCCCTTGGGGATGTTTTCCCCAATTTTTTTACTTTTGTAGATAGGTTTTTTCTATTTTTGCAGAGAAATTGCAACTTTTCATCCAAAAAATACATTCCATCCAAACCTTGACCTTCCACTATGATTAACTCTTGCCCCTAGAGATGAGAGACAGAAACTATCAGAAAAGCAGATACAAGGTACCAAAATGTGAATTTTTTTTTTAATACTTGAGAGACGAAACAGAAGATGAAAGGCATTATTGATTTCCATATGAACATTTGTCCACTTATTTGTTCTTTTGGGTGTTTTTTTTGTTGCCATGGTGGTAGGTTTTGTTTTTATTTTGGTTCTTCTTCCCAAAGTAGAATAAAGCCAGATGTAACCATATTCTGAGTATTGTTTCCCCATCAAACCCCCACATGGCTGCACAGCAGTTGTAACTACACCCCTAAACACTTACTTTCTTCCTGACAATTTTTGTTTTCTTCCTCTGTTTTCTCCAGATGATGCCACAGACAAAGACCTTTCTGACCTGGTGTCTGAGATGGAAATGATGAAAATGATTGGGAAGCACAAAAACATCATTAACCTCCTCGGTGCCTGCACACAGGATGGTATGTAGCAGAGCAGCCCGGTGCTAACGGGCTTGTGTGGGGCTCAGATTTGGCTGTCCCTTCTTTGTAATTACTCACTGGCTGCCCAAAATTATCCAGATGAGATTTGGGTGGCCAGCTCTTCCTCTGCTGGGTGCTGATGTGCTGTTCTTTGCAGGACCACTGTATGTGCTGGTGGAATACGCGTCAAAGGGGAACTTGCGGGAATACCTCAGGGCACGTCGCCCACCTGGCATGGACTATTCCTTTGACACCTGCAAGCTGCCCGAGGAGCAGCTGACCTTTAAGGACCTGGTTTCCTGTGCCTACCAGGTGGCACGGGGCATGGAGTACTTGGCATCTCAGAAAGTGAGTTGAGAAACCTCGTTTGGTAGAAGCCTCAGTTAAAGCCACGTGCTCAAAGACAGGGAATGCTCTGTGTGTGGAACAACCCCAGGCAAAACATTGCAAGCTTCTCCCTTTAAAGGCCAAATTTTGCTGGATGAAGTAACTAACTAACTTGGGGTTTCGAAGCTGGAGGCTTCATCCATATGCAGTCCCTGTATGCTGGCTGCATTCCTGAACCATGCAGCTGTGCAGCTGTCACCTGCAGGACCATTAGCACCCACAAAATGCCTATAAAAGGCACAAGCAACCCAGGCCATTCTGTAAGTCTATGTATTTAGGATGTATTTGGGATTCCTTAATTTGAAGGTCTTTTTCGCTCCTCCTCCTGGGGGAAGCAGCACAGAAAAGCAGCTGCACATCCCAGTAGGTGCCCACGGAGGAGGGGAGTTGGCTCTCTCATCCGTGCATCTGGAGAGAAAAGGCGCGTGTGGGCTCCCAGGCTGCCCATTAGGTGTTGCTAAGAGGTGGTTCCCACTGAGCAGGCACAGTGGGGTGGTGACACACACACACAGAGCCAGGAGCTGAGCAGTGCCCACAGCTTTATGAGCCTGGGAGTCCATGAAGCAGCAGCTCATAAACCACACGGCGCTGTTGGTTCCAGGCGCGAGCGGCTAACGAGCCCTTATTTATTGGCTTGCTCACCTTTCACAGTGCATTCATCGCGACTTGGCAGCCAGGAACGTGTTAGTCACTGAAGATAATGTGATGAAAATAGCTGATTTTGGCCTCGCTAGAGACGTTCACAACATTGACTATTACAAGAAAACCACCAATGTAAGTACAGAGCTGCCAAGCACACGCAGTTCTCCTGGCAGGGAACGGGGTCATCCCTGCAGCAAGATGTCCTTGTCCTACATCTCCCTTTCCAGAGGGGCTTAGAGGAAAAAGTCTGACAGGGACTTCACCTGGTGAGGGACTGTAGATAGGCTGGTCCCAGGAGTCTATCCACCATCTGTTTATTCCTGACAGATCCTGATCCTGCTAGCAGCTGGTTGTGAGGTCTCAGCTCTTTAGACTAAGAGAAACTGAGGTTTCTCCCAGACAGGCATGGAGTTTTTCCAGACTGCTGCTGTTAATAAAGGTCCCGAGGAGCCAACTTCTGTCTCATCTTCCTTGACAGAGGAATGTCACTTGTATACCTGGATCTACCTGTCTTTCATGCATTTCTCTCTTTTTTACATCTGAGCTCCTTTACTCCACTGCTAAGAGTGAGAAGATGGTCCCAGACAAGAGCTGAGACCTGGAGTTGTTTATATTTTCTGTAGAGATGAATTTACAAATGAAGGACTGAGAGAAGAAGCCCTGTGTCTTGGTTCAGAGCCTGTAGCAGATGTTGAGCCCTGAGGAAAATCCCTGACTTGGACAGAGTGAGGAGATGGCAGTGGAAGACTGAAGGCAGTGCAGAACTGAGGGTCTTGGGATTGCAAGTGGTTTAAATGTCCAAGCAGTCCTTTGAAGCCCACCATATCCATACTGATCCACTTCAATAGCAAATCAGGAATCTTTCTTAATTGACAGGATTTATTAATCATAAATTAATAACAGTTCTTGGAAATTTTAGTCACAGATCCAGATGGATTTTTCCCTGTTTGAGCTGTGTGGGACAACTGAGGACATAATCCCATTTGTGTATCCTGCCTGTGTCCCATCTCTAGTTGTCTCCCTCAGTGAGACAGTGGGTGAGAAGAGGTCAAAGTTCCCCCGTATCCAAATTATGGCTCAAACACAAAACAGTACTTTCTGTCTCCCTCCAGGGGCCAAACAAAGCCCCAGAGAATTATGATTAATCTAGTCTTTCTCATCTTGTATTTCTCACATGCCAGTCTGTGTTTATGACCTTGATGTAGAATGGGATCAGACCTCCTCCTTTAGCCTCCAGCAGGATCAGAATTTGTTTCTTAGAGGAGTTGGCCCTTGCCTTCAGTCTTTGGAAGTTTCCCTTCAGGTTGAGCCTAAACTGGTTTGGACTTGGTCAACTGTACTTTCCACACAAAGAGATGGAAAGTGTTGTCCCATGCTCTGCCACAGAGTTCACTTCATCTGTGAGCCTTGCATGCTGTTCCCATGCAGAGATTTAGATGCAGTGATATGTTAAACCTGCCTTGGCAGTGAAATACAGTCCTCTACAGAGAGCATTTACTGCAAAGATTGTCAGTGAAGATCCAGGGATCAAATGCTCTAATCTGTTTCTATGTGGCCACTGCTGCTTTGCCCAGTGACCGGGAAGGCAGATGTGGTTGTTAATGAAAATGTTTCAAACTGGATTAGAAAAGAAGATTCAGATGGTGCCGTGGTGGCTGGGGGAATATGCTGATGGGATGTTCCCATTGTCTTCCTAATTACAGGGTCGGCTGCCTGTGAAATGGATGGCTCCAGAAGCCTTGTTTGACCGGGTCTATACTCACCAGAGCGATGTGTAAGCAAACCCACACTTATAAAAAAAAAATAATACAACAGGGAAATCAACACCTATAGTATATTACACACTAAGCATGACCAGGGCTTGTTCCCTGCTGAAGTGCCTGGGGATGCAAAAGTACAGGAATTGATTCCAAGCTGCATCTTCACACACGTGGTTTTATTTTGCTGTTATCTGGTTGCTTTCATCTGAGAATCTCTAGGGAGCTGCTTGAAAAATTACTGGGAAGCAGGCAGGTATTTCTTGTGCACTTTATAGATGAGGTGATTCATCCAGCAGTTGAAAAATACTGTGCTTAAAAAACTTCATGAAAAAAATTACCCTTGGCGTCCTCTGTGCTTTGCCCCAGACAGTTACACTTCAGTCAAGGATGTGGAATGAGCTTGAAATATTCTGTCTGCTGTTAGAATTGTTCAAAGAATATTCAGCAAATACAGTCACAGATTAATTTTGCCATTTCATTTATTTACTTTATTTTTCCTAATCCTATCTCATCTGTTTTAGTGCCTCTGCACAGTAAGCAAACAGCAGAGCACTCCTTACATATAAATCAGTGACACATCTGAATTTTGCAAGGACTGAAGTAGCTTCACATGTGTACACTGGCTTTTTATTGTAATATTTGATCAATAATGGCATTTTTATAGCCAGCCTGCCTTCTCCCCAGCGCTCACCACTCGCAATTGGACAAACGAATCTTTTCTATTTCTGTATTTTTCAGATGTTTTGGCTTTTATTAATCTTAAATCATAGTTTCCATGCTTAGGTAATGCTGCAGAGGGCATGACAGATAAATCAAAGCTAGAGAATGGAAGAGTGAGTGTGCGTGAAAGCGAAACAGAGACAGATAATCCCTGTTTTTAGAAAGAAAATGAAGAAGGCAAGAGATATTTTTGAAAAAAAGGACTTTTAACCAGAGCACAGCTGCAGGACTGAAGTGTGTAACATTAGTGCTCTGCTGATTTTTGTTGGGGTATTTTTCTCCCGGCTTGGCCAGTGAAATGAGTGTTGTAACAAGCAAGTTTTGGTATCAGCTTGCACAATTAGTGGCCTGTGGTTCCAAGCCTGCAATTCAGTGAAGCCGTGCATGAATAATTTGATTTGTTCCATTCAGTGGAGCTGGTGGAAGACCTAACAAAGAGCTGGCGGTGATAGATGGGCTGTCACCTATCTGATTAAATGCTCATTTCAATTTCAGACTTGGTGCCTGGGATTTCTTTGCTATTGAGTTGGATCAGCAGAGATCTCCAAGTAACTAGTAAAAATGGCCTAGGCAATTAGTCATGCTATTGATGACTTTGTTAGCTATGCATGGCTGCACAGAAATAAAGCCAAGCAAGGGGGATGGGATATGGGGGGGCTTGGAAAAAAAAAAAAAAAAACTCATTGAATTTTAAAGATCTTTCTTTGGTTTCCAGCTGGTCTTTTGGAGTGCTACTATGGGAGATCTTCACTTTGGGAGGGTCACCATACCCTGGAATTCCCGTTGAGGAGCTCTTCAAGCTCTTGAAGGAAGGCCATCGGATGGACAAACCTGCAAACTGCACCCATGATTTGTGAGTGTGTGGTGGGGGCTGACCTTGCCCCACTCCCCATTCCCTCTGAGGCCACATGCACCCCCTGGGCTCTTGGGCCTAGGCTCTTGGGACATCCCAATGGGAAATTGTGTGGCCATCTCCAGGCAGACTTTCCTCAGCCCGTGGCTGCTGAGTGACAGGCAGGCCCTCCCCTGGCTGGGCAGGTGGCACTTGAGGGTGTAGTTTTGGTGTGTCACCTTCAGGGCAGGTCCTCCTCCTCCCTGAGGGCACGGTCATGCCTCAGGTATCAATAATGAGGACCATGGCTCCACAAAACCCCTCCTGTTCCCCCCAGCTGGCCACGGCTGGAGTTGTGTTGGCTGTTCCTTCAGGCAGTTTGTGGGTGGGTGTCCCATGGCCTGAGCACGTGTCCCATGTCCCCGTGTGCAGGTACATGATCATGCGGGAGTGCTGGCACGCCGTCCCCTCGCAGCGACCCACCTTCAAGCAGCTGGTGGAAGACCTGGACAGGGTCCTCACCGTGACATCCACTGATGTGAGTGTGGCGGGATGGGCGTGGGAGGGGTCACTCGGTCCCCAGCACGGGGACACCTGGCACTGATGGCTCTGTCACCCTGGCAGGAGTACCTGGACCTCTCGGTGCCCTTCGAGCAGTACTCGCCGGCCGGCCAGGACACCCACAGCACCTGCTCCTCAGGGGACGACTCGGTCTTTGCACATGACCTGCTGCCCGATGAGCCCTGCCTGCCCAAGCACCCGCCCTGCAACGGCGTCATCCGGACGTGAGGACCCCCAGGGCACAGGGACAGACGGACAGACGGACGGACAGACGGGCAGTGTGCCCGTGGAGGCGCGGGTGTGGGGCGCCGGGCGTGAAACGTAGTGAAGGATCTTCCAGTGGAACTCTGTGATGGTGCCTGGAGATTTGTGTTGTTGACAAGCTGTTCAGGGTAAAAACAAAACAAAACAAAACAAACAAAAAAAAAAAAAAAAAAGACTTTTTTTTAGAATTTTTTTTTTATATTTTTTTTTCCTTATTGCTGTATGAAAAGTCAAGAAGCACTGTTTGGCCTGAAGGAACTAATCTCTTGCCAAGATGATCTATCCTAGATGATTTTTTGTTTGGTTGGTTTTTTTTGTTTTTGTTTACTTTCCATTTTGTTAGGGATTTTTCTCTACCACGCAGAATGTTGAACCTGGGGGTTGCTGACCTCCCAGCCTCCGCGCTTGCGTTCCCAGTGCCAGAGTAACCGTTCTGTGCCTGCAATACGAAGAAAAGAGAAAAAGAAATCTTCCTCTAAAAAGAGAAAAAAAAAAAAAAAAAAAAAAAAAACAACAAAAAAAAAAAAAGGTGTAAAGAATGTGGAAATTCTTCGCTTATGCAATCTGTACATGAACCTTTTTGGTGGAGCTGAAAAGCCACGTTGCCTGCAGGGATTCATATATTTATAAAAATATCTATATTTTTGTTGTCGTCGTTTTTATAGCTTCATGATCGTGCTACCCAGCTATGTAGAAGGAATCCTTTTTGGAAGAAGAGAAAACAGAGCTAAGTAAAATGCAAATTGTCATGGAGAAATGAAAGTAAAAAATAGTAAAAAGAGATGGTCAAGTCATCTGAAGTGTCAGCGCCTTGGCCCTTGCACAGGGCTGGGAGTGATGGGTCCGTGCCAAGGCAGGAGCAGAGCCCAGGGATGGGCAGAGACCCTGTGGGGTCCCTGGGGAGCAGAGCATCACCCACCTGAGAGCAGAGGGTGCCCTGATACCTGGCTCCTGGGTGCCCACACGGCATCTCCAGTCACATCCTGACCTTTGAGAACAGCCAGTTAGGGGGGAAGAGGTACAAATCTCGCTTTTGGGGTTTGCCTGTTCTTGCTTGCCAGGGGTGAGTGAGGGGAGCAGCTCCTCCATGCACCACTCAACACCAGAGGTTTGGCTCCATCTACGTGCAGTGACTTGGAGAAAGAAGTTACGGGTACCTGTAGGCAAGAGCCTTTAACTTATATCAAAAAGGTTTATTCCAGAGAATCTGTATATATCTATAAATATATTGTGTATATATATAAATAAATATATTAAAAGAAAAGAATGTATAATACTAATGCAACATAAAGCAGTACTGAGAGAGAGTCTCAAAATACGAGCATTGCAATCTAGGATATACTGATCTGGGCAAAAAAAATATGTTTTTGATTGTTTGTTTTATATCTTCACAGTTTTGTTTTAAAAATTGTACCTTAACATGTATATTTGTAAAGTTATTTATAGACATTAACATATCTGTTCATTGGTTTAAATAGCATAGCGTTACTGTAAACTTTAAATTTCACCAAACTTAAGGGTGTTTTTTTTAACTTATTAAAAATGGAGAAAAATATATTAATCAAGTTTTTCCTTTGTGTTTATGGGAAATATTGAAAGAATGTATAGGTGTACAGTCCTTTAACAAATTACATTTAATGTTATAAATATATATATGTATTCATTAAAAAAATATTAGTTTATCCTGGATTGCAGTGAGCAAAGGTAAGTTTATTTTTCAATACATCACCAGTGGTTAAAACCAAACAAATAGCAGCAGAGAGATGATTTTTACATATTTCAGAAAAACAGGGCCAAGAATTCTTCCATCAGTTTAACCACTGTGCATTAAGGGGTGTGGGTGTTTATTTTTCTATTTTCAAATGAAGGTATTCTTTGTGGTCGATTTAATAACAAGTATGCAGCAAAGTGAAATGTTGACTTTGGATGGTGCAGGGTAGGATTTTTTCTCTTCCCTTTGCCAGTACTGTTGTATTTTGGGCTTCAGAAATGCCATGTGAGCAAAATAGTGACACTATTTGCAGGAGAGCTGCTACAGCTGCATATTTCTTTTGCATCTAACACATTGGAAAGTGCCAGTGATGCCTGATTTTGGTGTTTAGAATGCTGTGCTATTTTGTTCCTCAATGCCAGATAGCTGTGGAAAAGCACAGGAGTGAACTAAAGCATGTTAGCATGGATCAAGCTGACAGTGGGAGAGGTTTGGGCTGAGGATATTTTGTGGGTGGGTTTTTTGGTTTTTGTTTTTGTTGGTTTTTTTTTTTTTTTTTCCAGAAGACTTCTTTATGGACTACCAGAAAGAGGCAAAGCAAATTGCATCCTGAATTCCTTCTTTTCATTTTTCTCTGGTGCATATTGCATATCAATGTTGCAGAAAACAGGATGACAGCATCTCATTTAAATATTTTTTTTTCTTCTTAGAGCCACAGAATCCTTATCCTAAAATAAATAATTTATAGTTTGAGGTTACTTCAATGGAAGTTTGAGAAGGTAGATTTCTATAGATTTTTGTTTTGTTGGAATAAAAAAAAAAAGAATTTTTTGGTATTTTCTTACAAATGTCTGCTAATTGTGTACATTCCAAGTACTCGAAGCAAAGTTTTCCTGTACTGAAAAAAGAAAATGTACAAAACTGTGCATGGTTTTAAATGTTACTAGATATTATAAATATATATATAATTTATTGAGTTTTTACAAGATGTATCTGTTGTAGACTTGTTGACTTTAACATTTCTTATTCAATGCTTATATAGTTTTATAGCCTGGACTATTATCTTTAAAAGCTTAAAAAAAATTAAAAGTTCCAATTTTGTTACATTTTATACTGTTGATGTTACAATCCACAGGTTTGCATAGTGTGATTTTTGCAATGAGCAACTCTGTTCAGTTTATTTTAATACTGTACTTCTGTGCCTGACAGCTGCAGCTGTCGAAGGTGTGAGATGAACACTAAATAAAACTATTCTGCTTTTGTTAACATGAGAAACTTACTTCTACCAAAAAAAAAAAAAAAAAATAAACAAGTTGGGGTTTATTCCCAGTTGTGAGGGTCGTTTGCAAAACCAAATGTTGCAGGCACTGGGACTTGTAGTGCCAGGAAAGTTTCATTTTTATAATGCTGCTTTGTGAGTCCTGGCCAGTTCAGGTTTTGTATTCATAATAAATTTATAGCAATTTCAGTTAAGGGCAGTATTCTGTATTTATAGCCACACAAGCCATCGTGTGCACAGAGGTGTCAGCCCTGGTTTTGACTTTGTGGGGCTAAGCAAGGGAGCTCAGTAAAACCTGGTTTTGCTGGTAGCAGGCAATGCAGGGGGTGTTGCAGCTTGGGAAAATCTTGGCCAGTCCTACCAGCACTTTAATATAATACTGGTTCCTACAAGTGATCCTGCTGAGCTGCATCCCAGACACCTGGATCTTGGCATGCACGTTTGCCTCCCTGTGTAGAGCCTGCCTACAATAGCAAACCTTGGTGTTTTAAGTAGCTGGGCATGGAATGGCATGCGTCCAGGGAGGTTGTGTCTGTGGCACTGGGACTGGCACCAGCACTGTTCCATCCTAGATTTTAAAAAAAATTAAATTACATGGGGTTCAGGTAATTTCCTTGCCATTGTAAGAAGCTACACCATTCTTTCAGCACCACAGTGTTGTGAGAGGAGTCTTGCTACCTGAAATGAGTTGCTTCCATGCTTTAAGGACACACTTTGGTGGCCAGCCCTGAGTCCTGCCCCAGCAGGAGCAGCATGGGCTAGAGGACAAACCCTGGCCATCCAGGGCTGCTGGCAGAGCTTGGCTAAATGGCCTTTTCTGGCTCATGAGGAGCTTGCTTCGTCAGGGCAGGCTGGTGGGAATGTTGTGCTCCATTTGCCACCACCAGGACTGGAAAAGCAGGAGAGGGTCAGATCTTTCTGCAGTGAGCTGTGATGTATAGCACACCTGTTCTTGAAAGCTTTGCCAATAGAAATCTGCTGGGCAAACAGCACAGAAGTCAAAGTGACAAAGAGGAAAGTGTGTCCTGGTACAGTGGCTGACCTGCACATGGTGCTGGCTTGGTGTTTGCTTTCCCTCTGGGGTTTCATGATGTCATTCTTCCTCTGCTGGCCTTCACCCGCAGCCCTGTTTGCTTGTGGCCTAGGGAGGACAGGGTAATATTTTACTTTAATTGCCCTACAATGCATCCAGTTCTAAGCCTGGGATGAATATTTGGCTGCAGCATGTGATGTGCATTGAGCAGCGCACAAAACAACCTCAAGGAAAATTTTCAGATTTACTTGGTTGGGCTGTGTGAGTGAGTGAACACCCCACTGCAGCTCATCTCCCCTTCAGTGGCTGCAGCCTTCCACCCAAACCCAAAATGCCCTTTACACATGAAAGAGTTATTTCTCAAAGCATAACAGATGTCTTCTTTCCTCTGTGGGTGACTACACAAATAGAGCCTCTCACTGGCTGCCGTGACTTGTTTCATAGCAACATTCAAATAAATTCCTAAAATTGTGATTTATTTCCATTGGTCATGGCTCCATGGTGAGACAGGGAGGATTTGGCAAAAGGAAGAAAAGTCTGAAGCCCTGCTAGTGTCAGTAGGAGAAGGCAGCTAGAACCATAACAGCAGTTTCCTGGTGGTTTGGTGCCATTTCAAACTCTCACAGGAAGTTTTTCCTGCTGGTGACTCTTCTGAGCAAGTTCATCCCTCCCAGGGGCTATATAACCTCCAGAAGAGATAATATGGAGGCATGTGTTGTGCTTACCTGAAAAAGGAGAATAAAGGGTGAGTGATGGGTCTGCTCAACACAGCAGAGCTACCAACAACAGGAGAGCACAAGGGAATGGCCAGAGGAGATGGCAGGAGCTGAGAGCTTTCATGGGCTTTGTGGCCCAGGACCATGGGCTCACCACAGACAGGGAAAGGATTTGTCACTCTTGTTTATACCCTCTTTTTCCTTCACTTTCTCAAGCATGTTAGCTTTCATTTAGTTTCTCTGTTTCATAACCATCGTGTTGTTTTTCACAAACAGCATCTCAGGTGTCGGTAACATGTCAAGCTGAAAAAGCATTGTGCCCTGCCCCAACAAGATTATTATCTAAAACTAAGAAAGAAATTGTTGTCGTGTGCAGTGTTGCAATCAGAACCTTGTGGGGACATTTCTGCCCCCACACACCACTGGGTGATCACTTCTGATGGTGCCCGTTGAACACCAGCCCTGTCCCAGATCTTTTTTTTATTTTTTTCCTGGGTGGTGGTGTCTGGCAGGAGCAGGGGACAGGAAAGCATGCAAGCAGGAGGAAGGTATC